ATAGTTTATGATTGAACTAGATCATAATGGGCATCAAGATATGTGCTTTGAGTGGGACTTACAGCTCTTGAAACTGGGTTGTTGCTGCACCTGGGGATGGAGGGGGTGGAGAGTGAGCCACAGTCTGCCAGAGCGATTCTCTTCTCCTAACTCAGGGTTGGTGCTAAGAAGGCCCCTGATGCTAATAGTGCTGAGGAGGGGCACCTGTTCAGAAACAGTCACTGCATAAACTGAGGTCTGTGGCAGGCCAGAGTCTACCTACTGTGTGTCCAGTCTGTAAGACTTTTACTTAAATGTTTGTTTATTCTTATCTGGGGACTTTTGGATGAGAGATATTGTTTTTTTATGAAGACAAATGTGGGGGCTGAGGAGATGACTCAATCGTGTATTACTTACCTTTCTAATTAATTCCACCAAATACCTGATCAAAACTTAAGGGAGAAAGGGCTTATTTCGGCTTATAGTTCAAGAGGATATATCATGGCAGAAAAGGCATGGCAACAGGAACTTGAGGCATCTTGTCACCATGCATCCACCAACAGGAAGCAAAGGGCTATAAATGCTGTGCTCAGCTTGCTTTGTCTTCTTCATTCAGTGTAACAGGTAGGGTGGGTCTTCCCACCTCAATCAATCCAACCTAAACAATCCTTCACAAATGTGCCCAGAGATGTCTCCAGAGTGATTCTAGAACCTGTCAACTTGACAATATAGGTCATCATGGTCAGTAAAATGCTTGCTGGGATTATAGAGGTGAGCCACCACACCTGGCTGGTACGTTCATCTCACCAAACGCCAGTGTGTGGCAGAAAGGAATGCCAATGAACCAGCATGATGTCCTTAAGGAGTCAGAGCATCAACACTAGAGTGATCTCGTGTGCTGAGATGCTTTGCCAAGGAACCTCTCTCCTCATAGGTCTCCAGTGCATTTACTTGTCTTGCAAACATTTTTTTATCAAGTCTTGGCTATTTTCCAGAGATTCAGATCTCCCAGTCTTCTGGAGTGACATCTAATAATAAAGACCATATTAAACACACGCACAAATGTTTACACATAGGGAGGCCTTGTGTTCTTGCGTACCAAGTGTCCACATTCATTGGGTTTGATAGGGAAGTAAAAATTACCATAATACTTTCAAAAATATTCAGAGTCAGCTACTTGTAAGATCAGTTTCCACTCACACACAAGGCCACTATCTACCAGAACCCAAAGAGCTGTCATCACTAGGTCAGTTTCTCTTCGGTTCTTTGGTTATCTGTGGTGTGATGCAAATTCTAAGAATTGAATATTTTAGCAAGACTATGGAATTGTACAAGGCTGGTGAGAGAGCCGGAGAACAACTGAAGACCCCAGTCAAGCCAGAAACAGATGAGACCATCAATGACCTGGTAACAGTGGACAGACAGAGCTTCTCCAGGGAGGTTGAGCTGACTGACAGTCAGGCAGAAAGACTGAACTGTTAGGTAGTTAAGAAATGTTCTTGCAAAAAAATCACAAAGACCAGGACTCTATTTTAAATAAACAGCTTTCTGTCTATGTAGTGAAGACAACATGTAAATAAGACACCAGAAGTCATGGTGTGCCACCAATGGATTTTGTTGTGAAAATTATGGATTCCCTTTTATCATCCAAAAGTACAATGCATGGTTGAAATTGGAATATAAAATTTGCAAGAACAAGATAAAAATAAATTTTATATTTTTATAATTATTTTTTGTGTCAGAGAGAATGTGTGTGATGGTTATGTTTGGTGTATGGACATGTGTGAGTGGGTGTGTACATGTGTGTTAGTGTGTGTGTGTGTGTGTGTGTGTGTGTGTGTGTGTGTGTGCATGAGTGCAGATGGAGACAGAGGAAGACATGCAGGTCCTGCTCAGCCACTCTCTGTCTTATTCCTTTGAAGCAGATTCTCTTACTGAACCTCCAGCTAAGCTACCCCAGGGATCCTCCTGCCTCAAGGGGGCAACTAAATCTCTGGGATTATAGTATATGCAACTACATCTGGCTTTTACATGGGTTCTAGAGATCTGAACTCAGGTTCTCATGCTTATGCAGCAAATGTTCATGACTTCAGAACCATCACCATGGTCCCTTAATGTTTTTTAGACTTGTTTTTCAAAATGTAGTGTGAACTGAACTTTTGTAAATCCTGTTTTCCATGAAATATTAGATCTCAGATTTAAGGGATCATTATCTAAGATGGCTTTCCAGTTTTGGTTACCTAAGGATGATGGAACCTCCTGTCATCACACTGGTGTGAATGCTTTAAAGGAGAGAAGAGGCCTCTAAGAACCTTTCCTCCCTAAGGCAGGCTTAGCATTCAAGAGAAATGATGTCACCGCTGCAACCATCACCAAGAATGCTTGTAGAGCCCTTGAGCACTGTCTTGGGACTGAGGGAAGTCAGCATGGTTGCAGGTAGCAGGACAAAGGGGAGGTAAGCTTGAAGACAGCCAGGGACCAGGAAGGGTGTGTCTTCTTATTGTACTAGCAATGACAGAAAGGTGACAATTTGTGATACCAAGAAACTCCTGTGGTTACCACATGGCAGATGCTACCTTACTTCTTGTTACCTAGACATCTTCTTTCTTTTAGACCTGAAGTGTTCAACTTGTCCAGAAGTGTTTCAGATTGTTCAACTTTAGGAGCTTGCTAGGGTGTACAGTGTCACTGTAGGTTATAGGGCTGGGATTGGGGAACCAGCTGGCCTTTTGAGATTCTTTAAGGCTTTCATTTCCAGCTGGACATAGTGGCACACACCTTTAATTCCAGCATTTAGGAGGCAGAGGCAAACAGATGTCTCAATGTGAGGCCAGCCTGGTCTACAGAGTGAGTTCCAGGACAGCCAGAACTACATAGCAAGACATTATCTCAAAAAACAAAACAATAAATAAACAGACAGACAGATTTACACTAAAGAAATAGGGACTAGATTCTCTCTCTCTCTCTCTCTCTCTCTCACACACACACACACACACACACACACACACACACACACACACACACACACCTCAAATAACAAAAAACAAAGTAGGAAAACTCAGTTTCAGAGAGGAACTAACAGGCAGCATGGGTTCCTCGGGGGAACTCTCAGAAGCTCCATACATCCCCTCGAGTTTCAGCTAAAAACTGACAGGATAAGCTTGTGTGGAAATGACCTGGGAAAGGGAAAGAAATCAATCAGTGGCAGAGAGGGCAGGAAAGTCACCAGTCCTCACAGGTGGCTAGGAACGCTTTGGGAACCCATTAGCTAGACATCAACCTAGAATATATCAAAGGGGTATTGTAAGTCCTAGACCAAAGACTGCTGTGGCCTCACCTCATGGAGTGTAAGAATAAACTCCACAGAGTCAAATCATCCCAGAGGAAGCACAGAAATGGGTTAAAGGAACGCAAAACTGCAGAGGATCCAATCAGATCAAACTCACGATGGCTGGCAGCCAATCAAAGGTCACTGGAAATGCAATGAAGGAGACAAACTCAACTCAGAATAAGAAAAGCCAATCAGCAGAAGCAGATTTTTAAGTTATTGCAACAGGATTATAGTAGCCGTGATTCCCCATTCTATCTACCTCTTGATTTCTGGGGTGACATTCACTGCAGGGAGAGCCAGAGGGGAGTGGTCTGATGTGACAGCCACCAAGTCAAATCCCTACACTATCAAGTGATAGCTAATGTTAAGAGTAAGTGATTGTGAATGTTGTCACCAAACAGCCTTCATTCACATTTCACCCCAGGACTCCAGAGCTCAGGGACAGTCATCTCAGTAGAGTTTTAAGATTCTTAAGGGTAGAGCTCATTTTAGTTGTCCCTTAATTTAGAACAAGGTCCTTCCTTTGATGGACAGGAAAGGCTCAAATGAATTGAGCAAAATCAGAAAATCAATCTATTCCGTGGGCCTTTCAAAACTGTTATCAAGTGAATTATCAGGCAGCCAATCAGTAGTTTTTTATGTGAAAAACATCACATTTTTGATGAGCAACTTTCTTAATCAAACCTGGGCTTCCCTATCTGCTATCTATTGTGTCATTCATATCTTCTGTTTAAATCATGAAGGAAATTAAGTTATGTGAAAGAGGGGCATTCTGTAATAGATGGAGAGCAGTCTCTGTCACAGAGATTGTATTCACACTGAGAGATGTTAACATGCAAATGTCTTCCTAGAGTTGTATGTAAGAACACCACAACACCATGAGCCAGCAAGTCAAAAGTGGAAAATCTTGCTGTATACTCAAGTGACTAGTCTTGGGGGTACCTTTCCCATAACAAGAGCATGGCTAATTTTTAATATCCTTTGCATATAAAGTAGGCACCCAAATCCTCAATCTTGAATTCACCTGGTGACTTGATTCTTATTTTATTAATTTCATGTTTATAACTACAGTTATGCATGCTTTCTAGAACATGTAAAACTACCCAAAGATCTCAAAAAGAAAAGTTAATAATCTGCCTCTGACAACTCATTGTAATGGTCCAAGTCAGAAAGCTGAGGCAGGAGGCTTGCTGTGAACTCAAGGTCACCCTGAGCTATAGTGTGAGACCCTGACTCAAAGCAGCCTAGAAAATATCTTCCATGTGAACCTCTGTACAAATTGTATCATCAGGTGGGCATATATAGCTTTGAAATGAGACCATGTGACAAATACTAATTCCAACATTTGCTTTTGACATTTAACATGTCATAGGTCACTCTGCATCAACATACCAATACACCTTTGGTTTTCTTTTTTCTTTTCTGTTGCAGATAATGCTGCAGAGGTCTCGCATTCAGTCCCCTCGTGGAGCATCACTGAGTCAGAGACATATGCACCCATGTTCCTAAGAGCTATTGTCAGACTGCTTTCTTCCAGAAAGAAAAAAAAAGTGTGCAATACACAAGATATCAAAAATGAATAAAAGTGTCTAGATCTTTTGACCTTTGTGGTAGGACTTAGGGAGAGACACTTTGAACAGTACATGCCTGTGAGAAGTGAATCACAGACTCTCAATACAATGTGTAAAAATAGTTGGAGATATTACTTTTATTTTTAGCATAATCAAGCTTAATCCATAGTCTTTAAATGGAGTCAAGTGACAATTTTAAATTGCAAGCAATGTCCTGTAAAAGCAAAACAAACTTTTTATGTGGGGTGTACAGAAAAATAGAACTACCAGAGAAATGATCATTATAATGTTACAAAAATAGTATTGATTTGAAGTCTTATACTAAAACAATTCTGTCATATGTAACACAAACCTTAGACGGTCTTGTTAATAGAAAACTTGGAGCCAGGTATTGGGGTGAACACTGGAAGATCAGAGAAATAGGGAAAGCCACAGCCAACCTCACCTTGCCAACTTCTCAACTGATCCTGTTTCCTCAGACTGGACGCTTCTAAGTCCTCACCCAAATGGATCTCAGCTGAACTACTGCTAAAAGCCTAAAAGCTTAAAGGCCTCTAGTTCCTGGTCCTCAGCCTCCAGAGCAAGCTACTTTCTGTATACCCACACCTACATGCCTTTCTGTTCCACAATCTCACTTCCTCTCTCCGCCCAGCTACATCACTTCCTCTTTCTGCCCAGCTCTGTCTCTTCCTATCTGTCTGTACAGACCTTTATGGTTAACTAACATTGGAATTAAAGGCATGTGCCACCATGCCTGGCTCTGTTCCCAGTGTGGTCTTGAACTCACAGAGATCCAGATGGATCTCTGCCTCCTGAATGCTAGGATTAAAGGCGTGTGCTACCTTTGTCTGACTTCTATGTTTACTAGAGTGGCTGACTTTTTCCTCTGATCCTCAGATAAGCTTTATTAGGTTACACAGATAAAATATCACCACAGTCATAATTAATTCATATTCTTGGGATATTTACTGGTCCATGTCTTAATTCCTTAGATTTTTTTCTTCAGAGAATCAAGGAATCTACCCACAGGAGAGAGAAGCACACAGTGACCAGCAATAGCTGAAGTGTACAGGATTGTATGGCTTTTGTTTACTTTTTGCTTGACTCAAAACTCCTCTGAAACAAGGTGTTGAAATATAATAAGAACAGATATCAACAGTAACAAGAAACAAACTGAATCCTGTTCCCATCAAAAAGGGCCCCCAGGCCAGGATGTAACTTGCTACAGAATCCATTTCCTCATCTGCATCTTCCGTGGCATTACTGACAGACATATTCTCATGGCACGTTCCCCACAGGAACCTTTTACAGGGACTTGGGTGTTACTACTGTCCAAGCTTCAGGTGAAGGTCCTGGGCAGAGCACCGAAGAGACCTGTAGTGTAGGTGGTCCACGGTTTAGCATCTTCAGCTTTGCTTCCCTGACTTCTGTCTTCCTAAATACAAACACGGAGAAGACGGGGAGAACCATGAGACAAAACATCCTCGGCATCCTCAGACAAGTCAGTGCTCGGCAGGTAGACCTGCTTGGGTCAGTCAGAGTGCCCAGGAGGTTCATGGGAGACTCTACTTGCCAGACTGGTGCTCACCCCCTCAGCTTGCTCCTCACTGAGGGTCCCAAACTCCAGCTAGCAGTAGGGGGCAACCACATCTGTCTATATCCTGGCCTCCCCATTCCTGTGCGCTTCTTCCCAGCAGGTGATCTGGAACCCAAGCCCTACAAGCCTTAAAACCTCATATCCCAAAACAGATCATAGCAGATTATGTATTAGCATCTCTTCTCTTCCCAGGCCTCCGGTATTCCTTGCCTTATGGTGCTAAAATCACCATCCTGGTGTGCCAGTTGTAGTTCCTTGGGTTTGTTGCTACATCAGCCTTAGCCATTTTGTGTGTCAATGATGCTTGGAATACTCCACTGACACTGTACTGGTGGGGCATTTGTTTGTTTGGTTGGTTGATTTTAGTTTTTGTTTTGTTTTGTTGTCAACTTGAAAAAAAAAACAGACATCTAGGAAGAGGGTATCTTAATTGAGAAAATACCTCCATAAGATTGCCCTGTAGCCAAGTCTATAGAACACTTTCTTGATTAGCAATTGATGTGTGAGGGCCCAGCACCATGAAGGATGCCACCTCTGGGCAGGTGGTCCTGGGTTGTATAAAAAAGCAGACTGAGTAAGCCATGAGGAGAAAGCCAGTAAGCAGCATTCTTCCACAGCCTCTGCTTCAGTTCCTGCCTTGAGTTCCTACCCTGACTTCCCTCAGTAATGAAGTGTGACATGAGAGTTATAAGATGAAATAAAAGCATTCTTCCCAAAGTCGCTTTTGGCCATGGTGTTTTTATCACAACAGTAGAATCACTAAGAGAGAAATCATGCAAGCGGAAGGGGCCGGGGAAGGAAGTGGAAGGAGTCAGTGAAGAGAGCGTAAGGGGTCACTGGAAGGACAGGCAAGAAGCAGACCCCTTTCTCTCCTACAAGTCAGCTCCACCTCTTTCGCCTGAGGCCTCACCTGCCCACCAGCTGGAAGCACACTCTCAAAATAAATATCTAAAAGTCAGTTCTGTCAAGTATGGTGGCACACACTTGGGTTCCATGCATTGAGCATTCAGGAGGCTGAGGAAGAAGCAGCAAGGGCACAAAGCCAGCCAGGGCTGTCTAGCAAGACCCATCTGAAAAGAAAGAAGAGGGAAGAAAGGCCACAGGCTGAGCAGAGTCCCATCTTCAGCTCATAATAGCATTGCTGCTCTAAAGTAAAACTGGGAGAAGGCGCTAGTACTTCATCTTAGCAGATGATAATGTGAAATAGGGTAGCATTTGGAGACTGAGGAAAATGCCAGCCTCCAGGGAGAGAAAGGTGTTAACTTCTAATAGCTTTTTCTTAATAGCCAAACATCTGCAGTCCCCTTTAAAAACTGGGAGGGAGGGTAAAATTAATAGAGATGAATGTGCTTCACACTGAGGAGAATGCCAGTTTGATACATGCATTAAGGGATGCTCTGGATCAGAAATAATTATGGATAATGACAAGGAGCAGAGGGTCTATGGGTGGCACTCATAGGAATGCATTCTCAAAAGTGGTTTAAAGAACCTTCAGATGTTGGTCCTGCATGGCCAAATTAAGAGCAAATGAGAAAAGTTTATCTGGCATTTTGGAGTACTGAGCAGGTTTAGTGTTACAAATTATTCAGTGTGAGGCTGGGGAATGGTGAGTAAATTCATGTTAAATACTATTGGCAGTTTAAACAGCAACTGCTCTATAAAGCACTAAACACTTTAATTTGAAACTAAAAGTACCAGCCACAGCATTCTCTTCAGTACCAAAAAAAAGGAAAGAAAGAAAAAGAAAAGAAAAGAAAAAGTAAGAAATCCAAAGACTGCTTGCTATTTATTTGCTAGCACCATAATTAGAAGTTGACTTTATCAGAAACTCATCTCTATCATGTTCAATTTGTGCTTTCATGTTGTGTGAGTGTCATTGCTCTGTGCTTTAGAACTCCTATAACAGGAATTGCCAAAATGCTCCTCAAGTATCTTTATGCTGTCAGAGGATTGCCCTGCAGTACAGCCTGGGTGGAGCTCATCAGTGTCGATCCCAGCCTGGCCCAGGCCTTCCTTTATGACAAGTGCTCTATGCAGTGAGAGCTGGTCACAGATATAAACCTGGGCTTCTCTGTGTGAATACCACATACCCCAAGCAAATGTCAGGTCCAAGTCTGTGATGAGGAGCTGTTACTCATAGCCATGAAAAAAATTTCCCAAAAGCCCCCAAGCTGCAACTCGAAAACATCGTCATCTATGATAGAGTGTTGGTTATTATCAGAGATTTCCTGAAAGTCAGAATGGGAACAATAAAATCCCTTGAACAATAAACATCTACAATCACACTTTTGACCCTTTTCCTACTCATATAAGAGTATTAAGCTGTATGTTCAAAGATATTATTTCAATATTAATAGTAAAACAAATACAAGCAACCTAATTACCAAATAGCAAGAAATAGTTTTTAACAAAGGCATACCACATCAATAAAATGAGATAGAACCACTAAGAATTATGCTGTAGATCCCTTGTTTCCACTCAGGGACAGAAAAAAACTGAAAACAGCATTAGTCCTGCCTGTTGAATAAGAAAAAAAATCCAGGCAGGATACATGATCATGACATTTCTTGAATCACTGTAGACCTGGAGTCATAAAATAATTAGTTTAAAAAAGATTTAGAGCCAGACAGGTGCCTAGAAGGAAAGAAAAGACACAAATACTCATCCACCAAATTACAGCAAACACCTGAAGAAAAGAGAGAGAATGAGCAAGAAAAAAAGTGAAAGAAATAAAAGCCAAGGATTTACCAAGTGAATGACAGACACTAAACATAGATCTGAAAGAGTTAGAAAACAAAGCAAGATAAATACAAAACAAAAAAATGTAGGTAATAAGGTAAAGGGGGACTTTAAAAACATAATTATGATAAACCACTCCTCAAGCTAGAAGATAATGAAGCAACAGCTTTTAAATGATAAAATATGTGGCCAAGTGGAGATCGGAAAATTCAGAACTCTATACCCAATGTGAACATTTCTTAAATAAAAGAGGAATAAAGATATTGTTCTGGTGAACAGAAACAGAATTCATTGTTGGAGATATACAGAAGAAGACTCCTTAAAATGATTTCTTTGGGCAGAAGGAATATAATATAAAACAGAAACCAGGAAAGCTAAACAAATAAATGAAAAACCTTAGAAATGCAAGATAAGATCATTTTTTTTGGTACTAACTATCCTAAAGGACAACTAACATGAAAACAGAAGCAACCAAATAAATGCTCATAACAAAGTTTAAATGAGTGGCAAATACATCACAAGCTAGAGAAAGTGGTAATACCTCTCTAAAATTCTTATACCATATGTTGGGGGGGGAGCAGATGGGACAACAGCAGCCAGCAAGATGATAGATTTTACTTCAACTTTGTAGAAAAATTACAGTAAATGTGAATTATCTAAATATAAAAATTAAAAGACAAGAATTTCAAGAAGACTTCATTTATAAAATTAAAACCCAACTATATGCTGTTTGCAAGAAACTCATTTTTAAAAGGGTAAAAGAGCAAAGACAGGAAAATAGGCCAGGAAATGCTAGCAAAAATAAATCAGAGTCCCTACATTCATATCATAAAATTAGATTAGAATAAAGAGTATTATCATAGATAACAGTATTCCTCACTAGTTCTTCAGGAAATCTCTACATAACAGTCTTAAACATGATAGACCTGAAAACAGAGCATGAAAAAAGAAATAAGTAAATCAATCTAGAGCTTTACATGCTGCATCAGTACTTCTTTCAGTAATTAATAAACAGTAGCTATAAAAACAGAAGGATATATAAAGGCTCTATGTCAAATTAACATAACTGAAAGTTTGAAACATATTACAGAGTGGAACATAACTTTTTTCTTCTGTGTGTGGGTGGTAAGGGATACATGTATGCAATAGCATGTATATGGAGATCAGAGGACAATTCACAGGGGTTTGTTTCCTCATTTTACCATGTGGGTCCTGGAGACTAAACTCAGGTCATCAAACTTGATGGCAAGCACCTTTGAGCCACCTTACATGCCTAAGAATACAATGTTTTAAGGGCATATTCAAACTTAAATGCACATTCACAAAGACAGACTATTCTAAACTATTAACATTAACAAATTTACAATAAGAGAAATCAAAATTTTCATATCATGGCAGACCTGAGATGGTTCTCAAATCATAAAACTGGTAGCAAATGTTCTGAAAAATAACTAGTTGGTAGTTTTTGAAACACATCAAAATAATCCAAAGAGGGAAGAGTTCACAGTGGAAACTAAAAATGGAATGTTAAGAAAATGAAGATGCATATTGAAATATTGTGGGATAATTGCCAAAGCAGAGTTTGGGGATAACTTTGTAATATTATCTTTTATATTTGGAAGAAGTCTCAGGTGGGTAAACTAAGCTTTATAAATCAAATGAGTAAAGTAGAAAACAAACAAAAAATACATGATAAACTCAAAGCAAGCAAAAAGAAGAAATAATAAATATGGCAGCTAAAATAGTTGAAATTGAAAAAGTAGACAAACTAAAAGCTGATTCTTTGCAAAGATCTTGGCCGAACAAGAAAAAAGAGAAATGACACAAGATAATCAACATCAGGAATGCAAGAAGGGACATCACTACAGATCTCACAGATGTCAGTAGAGTATGAGTGGGACAAGATGAGTGACTCTGTATCCCCAAGTCAGACAACTTAGATCAAATGTACCCACTCTTTCTTATGGTAGTGTGAAAAACACTACCATAGGCTAGGTAGATTGATTTATTGATTTATTGTGTGTGTGTGTGTGTGTGTGTGTGTGTGTGTGTGTGTGTGTGTGTGGTGTAGGTGTAGAATGTGCCCATCTGAGTGCACATGGAGGTCAAAGGAAGATGTTAACTGTCCTTCTCTATCACTCCCCATCTTATCTTATTCCCTTGAGACAGAGTCTCTTGCTGGCCCTGGAGAGCTCTCCGAAAGGGACCTACTTCCTGTGTGTATGTCTTTATATAGTCTAGCTGTTCTGCCTTCTCATTGGTTGTAAACCCAAACACGTGCCTGCCTCGTCACTGCCTGTATGTACAGCCCTCCAGGTCCTCTATGGTATTGAGATTAAAGGCGTGCGCCACCGCCGCCACGCACTTGCTATGGCTCTAATAGCTCTGACCCCCAGGCAACTTTATTTATTAACATACAATTAAAATCACATTTCAGTACAAGTAAAATACCACCACAACCAACCCCTAGTAATCCTCCTCTCTTCACTTAGCGTAGCACTGGGGTTACAAGCGCAAGTGACCGTGCCCTGCTCTTACACAGGCTCTGGAATTTTAGCTCTGGTTCTTATGCTTACATGGTAAGGCATCTTACTCACTGAGCCATCTCCCCACTTCCATTTTTTATTACATTTAATTATTTTGTGTGGGGAGCACATATCTGCCACACCATGCATGTGGCAGTCTGCTGTGGGATGTTCTGTATGGCAAATGTGTTGCTGATTAGTCAATAAATAAAACACTGATTGGCCATTGGCTAGGCAGGAAGTGTAGGCAGGACAAGGAGGAGAATAAAGCTGGGAAGTGGAAAGCTGAGTCAGAGAGACACTGCCAGCCGCCACGATGAGAAACAGCATGTAAAGATGCCGGTAAGCCACGAGCCATGTGGCAAGGTATAGATTAATAGAAATGGATTAATTTAAGCTGTAAGAACAGTTAGCAAGAAGCCTGCCATGGCCATACAGTTTGAAACCAATATAAGTCTCTGTGTTCACTTGGTCAGGTCTGAGAGGCTGTGGGACTGGCAGGTGATAGAGACTTGTCCTGACTGTGGGCCAGGCAGGAAAACTCAAGCTACAGTAGTCAGAGGACAACTGAGAAAACTGGCTATTTTCCTCCACTATGTGAGTCATGAAAATCAAATTCAGGTCATCAGGCTTGGCAGAAAGTACCTTTACCTACTCAGCTATGTCACTGCCCTCCCACATTTATTTTTGTTAGAAATTTACAAAAACCAACTAGAGCTAACACATATTGATATGTATACATGCATATATATAGCATGCATGTATATACTAAAGTTGATTATACAAAATATAATAATAATTAAATTTAGAATATGCTTTTCAAAAATAATGTGACAAAATTGGATATACATATGTAAAAACATACAAGCATAAAAAGATACCTCTACTTCATCATAATACAAATATGAATCAAAAATGGATTGTATACCTAAATGCAAATAAGATCTTATGAAATTACTAGATAAAACATAGGAAAAACTTTTGTGACCTTGGGTTAACAAATAAATATAACACCAAGAGCAAGATCCATAAAAGAAAAACATAAGTGGAACTTTATCAAAATGTACAATTTTGCTTGCAGAAGACACTTGTTAAGAAAGCACAATTAGGGGGCTGGAGAGGTGGCTCTATGGCTAAGAACACTTCCTACTCTGACAGAGAAGTCAGGTTGAGTTCCCAGCACCCACATGGAAGCTCACAACCATTTGTAGGGAACCTACACCCTCCTCTGGCCTCCACTGACACTAGGCACAAGTGGTACATATACACACACATATTTATATATCTATGTATATGTGTATATATATATATATACATGCAGAAAAATTCATATACACAAAGCAAAATAAGTCTTTTTTCAAGGAAGTAAAAGCATAGGTCACACTGTAAAACAAAACAGTTACAAATCTTATTTCTAACAAATAACTTGCATTGAGAATACCTAAAGTCTCAGACTCATCAATAATAAAACATACCACCCAATTTTAAAATGACAAAAGATAGGAACAAAGACCTCACCAAAGAAGATGTGTAAACAGCAATAAGCAAATGAAAACGCTTAACGTTGTTAGTCACTGGGGAAGTTTGAATTAGCATCACATATTAAACATCACTATACATCTATTATGACTAATTTTTTATTAAAAACTGCCAATATCAAGTGTGGATGAGAAAGGTCACTTTCATGTATTGCTGGTGGAAACTGAAGCTAGCACAGAAAAGAGTTTAGCAGTTTACACAGAGAACCAAATAATCACCAAATATTTATACTAAAGAGAAAAATTTGTTTCCCCTATGATAGTTAGTGATCATTGTCAACTTGACATAATCTGGAACCACCTTGGATTCAGGCCTCCAAGCACATCTATGGAGGGTTACCTTAATTCCTTTGAGTGGGAAGACCAGTCCACTGTTGGCGGCACCATTCCCTGGTTGGTCCTGGACCGTGTACGTGATAAAAGAGAATCTGAGCTGTGGCAAAGCATTCATTGTTCTCTCTTCTGACTACAGACATGACCAGCTGCCGCAGCTCCTGCTTCAGCTTCCTGACATGATGACTGTCCTTGAACTGTGAACAAAAATAAATCTTTTTCCCTTAAGCTGCCTTTATTGGATTTTTATCACAGCAACCAGAAAAAAAACTGAGACACAATCCCCTCACAAAAAAATCCTTCTACATAAATATCTAAAACAGTTTTATTTGTTAATTCCCAAAACAAAAACAACCCAAACTCACTTCAATAAGTAGAAATAAAGTGGAATATTACTCAGCAATAAAACAAACTATTGATTCACATGACAACAGGGATAAATTTGATCACACACACTTTTCTGAATGCAAGATGTCAGGCCCCAAGGAAACAGGTTGTATTGCTTGGCTTAAAGGGCATTTGGGATAAAGTAAAACTACAGAAATGGAAAGCAATTTGGTGGTTATCAAGATGGGGTCCCTATGGATTGCTGTTTTCATAGAACTAAGCCTGCATGCAGCTGTGATCTCAACACTCAGAGATGGGGCCAGGAGGACCACAAGTTTAAGGACAGCCTACACTACATAGCTAAATTCTGTCTCAAAATAATATTCATAAAAACTGTATGACTCTGTCATGGCTTAAACGAGAAATATCCCCTGCAGACTTGTGTATTTGAACATGTGACCCCCAGTTGGTGGAACTGTGTGGTAAGGATTAAGAGGTGAGTCCTTGTTGGAGGAGGTGTGTCACTGGGGGTAAGCTTTGAGTTTTCAAAAGCCCATGCTGTTCGCAGTCATTTTTAATCTGCTGCATGCTTATGAATCGGATGTAAGCCCTCAGCTCCTGCTCCAGCACCAAGCCTGTCTGCCTGCCGCCATGCTCCCCGCCACCACACTCCCCACTGTGATGATCATGGATTCTAATTCTCTGGACTGAGAGCCCCAATGAGCATTTTTCTTTTATAAATTGTCTTGATCATGATGCCTGCACAGTAATGTAAAAGAAACTAAGACAACATGTGGGCACACAAACAGGCGCACACACAGAATACTGTAAACATATACATTCCCCAAGCCTGGCTGCTGAGTGGGCTTAGAAACGGTCACGTCCTGTAGAAATGAGACAAGCTAGCCAGATCATGGTTTCCAAGACCAGCCAGAAAACCACACAGCAAGCCTGAATGAAACATCTCCAGGTACCACAAAGGAAGGAACGGGAAATTAATGACGTGAAGGCAAAGGGGTGTTACTAAAGCTTGCAAGCCAAGCAAAGAAGGCTGGAAAGATTCACAGCTGGAACATCTTGAACCACAATGTAAGTAAGGGCAGCACCGGATTATCACCATGGAGCAGAACAAATCATAAGGCCTACTAGTGTTAATTAATGAGAAGGGACTGGTCTTCAGGACAGAAAAATTACATCCAATGAATCTAGAAAGGATGCTGAAGAGAGTCGCCCTAAAGTGTTACAGACAGGATCTACTAGTGAATGCTAAAGTTAGCTAATTGTTAGGTCTCCCAAGCCCACCCCAAGGCACATGCTGAAGGCCAACAGCCTGAAGTACTGTCTGGTGTTGGTGGAGGCTTTGGAAAGTGGTGTGTGCCCTTGAAGGAGCTATTGAGATCAGCCCCTTCTTCATCTGTTTCTTTTTGTGCCATAAGATGATACCACCATGACAATGCATCACAGGACCAAAGCAAGTGGGCCAGGTGACTGGAACCATGGTCCAACATAAACCTTTTTCCTTAGATGATTTTCTCAGGTATTCTGACACATCCATGGAAAGCTAATAACTCACTAATGTTTGATTGGAAATGGGATACACTCTCAAGGCATCTCTTCTGAGATATCTATTCATTGTAAAGGGGAAAAATAATACCTCATATTCTATAGCCATGTCCTCCCATTTTTTAAAGCATTCCTATTGGAGAGAGGAGTGGCATACTCAGGAACAAGGTTCACATCATCCACGCTGGGGTGGGACGTTTTGGTGAGGAAGCTGCTTTGAGTTGCCCCTGTCCCCATAAGTAACCCCAATAAGCTCAGTATCTCACTGGACTAGAACTTGGGTAGAATTCTTTCTTTGATCTGTCGTTGGTGCCCTAACTGAGGTAAAGAGATGTTTGCTCACACCTCCCCTGAAACAGGCACACAGCACCTTGATGTTGGAGAAGTCCAGCAGTCATTATTTTAACCAGATGAGGGAAGCTAACATCCTTAGGGACATCCTGTGTCCCTCAGGAAGCACTGAAAACAGCACACAGCACCGTTACCCAAAACACTCTGCTTTGATTTAATCAGACCAGGCAAAACCCAGTAAGAGTCCTCAAAATTGATGTCCCTTCAAAAGTGTCAACATCACAAAAAAACAAAGAAAGGCAGGAGAGCCACAGTGCTTCAGGAGGAATTACAGCAATGACTTTGGGACAGAAGGACTGGGATGCCCAAATAAAATCCACAGTTCAGTGAGTGTTAATTTTTGAATTTTGATTATCATAGTACAGCCCAGAAATATGTCCCAATTCAAAACTGAATGGTAGTTCCCACCAAACATGCATTGATTTTTGCACCAATGTAAAGGAAAAAAGCTCAAAGATTCCAAGATTGAAGTTTCATAAGGTGGGGCTGATCTGTGTATGCATTAGCAGTAGCAACTTGTATTGTGTACATACATGTGCTGTGTGTGTGTGTGTGTGTGTGTGTGTGTGTGTGTGTGTGTGTGTGTGTGATTAGCATGCCCTACATCACACCACAACACACTCAAAATGTAAAGTGATAATGAATGTTATTCACCCCTGTATTCTCAGGGAAAAGATTATAGATGATGCCGTCTTTTCTTCTTTTATATCATTACTTTCTAATTCTTCTGTCACTAACCTCTTTTAATGGGCATTTCCCAACTTTTACAATTTAATTTTTGTGTGTAATCTAGTATAGAGCTGGATTAATGGTTGGAGGAAGATCTACCTCCAATACTGAGGCCCAAGGCATGAGAACATGGGGATGGGGACCATGTACTTGAAGCCCTCTCCACCCAGTCCCCACATCATCCTAGGGAATCTTGGGAAGCGTTGAGTCTTCTCTTCCTCCTTCGATTTCTGTCTTCAAGCAGGTATCTAATCTCTAACCATGAGGGTTTCATCTTTGGTTCCCAAGACCTGAGTCTTCTTCAAAAGCCAATGAATGTCTACAAGAGACATGAGGGGAGATGGATCCCAATCCCTTCACCATCTCAGGCCAAGATAGGAAGCATTTAGGGGCCTTGACCCAGGCCACCCTTCACAGATAGAAAGGAGATGCTGAACGGTATCTGTGATGTGTGTGTGTGTGTGTGTGTGTGTGTGTGTGTGTGTGTGTGTGTGTGTGTGCATGTGTGTCTGTGTCTGTATATAAGAGAGAGAGACAGAGACAGAGACAGAGTTCAGATCCAAAAAAAAAAAAAAAAAACAACAAGTCCTTCATTCAAAGCCCTTAAGTCTGAGAACAAATCTCCTAGATCGAAATAGATTGAACCAGGAACTGATCTTGCCTGCTCAATTTGGAAGAAGTTTAAATTGAGGGCCAGTATCATTGGACTTCATGAGACAAAGCAGATGGTGGAAGCTGAGTGAGGGCCCAGGCATGAAGGGCACAGAGAGAAGAGGCCAGCTCTGCAATGCAAGCACCTCTTGCATGACTCCCTGAGTAGTGGACACAGGCAAGCTCCCTCGCAATTCCAAATTCAACTTCTCTGAGATTTATTTTTCTTTTGAAACAATTTTTGGCAGCTTTTGATCTTCTAAACTGAAAAAAAAATCAAAGAAATCTGTTTCTGTGGAGTATTAATAGCAAAGGAATTTCTGGACACTGCAAAGCAGGGGAGGAGTGTGTAGCATCTCAGTTTTATTCATCTTCAAAGCAAACTAAATATAGTTTTGAAAAATAGAAGCAGGAGACCTTACAGATTTTTTGAAGGGATGGAATAAACCTCTTTGCGCAAGAAAAGATGACATGAAATTTATCTTGAAGAACATTCACCAGGCTGTTGTCCACTTAATGCCTACAAGTGGGATGGCAGAGGGATCTGTACTTTATATCAGAAGAATATCCAAGTCATACAAGGAACTCCAGAGCTCAAGCACTGTCATCAATATGGGTGTTGTCTTCTCTTCTCCTGATGGGATAACAACACCCCAAGGGCAGAAGACTTAAGACTTCTCTAACTAGCAAATATCTAGCCACTGTGCACAAAGCGTCTCAGCATCACCATGACTCCATAACCCAAACCCAGGAAGCATGGGGATCACAGTGGACAGCAAGGAGCATGCTCTGCATATGTTATAAGATGCAAGCATGATGATGTATCATTTGAAAGAATAGTTACCAAGATGCATCTATTAGTCAGACCTTTTAGGCATTGCCTGCAAGCAACCAAAACATTAAAGCCAACTTCTAACTGTGGCATGTGTTGTGAAGGAAACAAATGAGATAATATGATGGAGATGTTTAGGGGATTGGTGGTAATTTAGAAAAGAAGTGTCTAAGGAAAAGACTCCAAGACAAGAAGATGGAGTGCCAACTCTTCAAAGAGGTTACAGAACTGGGTATAGGAGGCACTCTCCTGCTCCTGGGAGGCTTTGACTACACTCATAGTAATCATAACCCAGGGGTTCATCTGATTTCCATGGTCTCTCATGGTGATTGATGGGACAACTCCATCAAAGTCTCTGTGAAACTTTGTCGTCCCCTGGGATAGTTGCAGGGAAGGACAAGGACCCGGTTAAAGAATATAGGCTTCAGAGCCATGCTGGCAGGTTTGGGTTTTGACTCTGATCTCACTATGGGCTTTAGGACTCTGACCAAGGACATAAGCTATTTGGGATTCTGGAACAAATAAATCATCTCTCAATCAGAGGGAACAGAGAGGACAGCAGGGCTTGAGAAGGGACAAGCACCATCCACCCTCTCACTTCAGAGAAGACTCTTTGTCACACCAATAGGGAGGGACACTAGCCTGTTCCTGGACAATAAAGCCTGCAATACCCTTCAGATATTCTAGAAATAACCTGAGAGGCAAAGAGAATTAATTTCAATGGGTTGTTGTTAAAAGGATTCC